GGGGGGAACGGGACAGGGGGTGTCCAGTCTTCTCAGCAGGACTACTCGGGTCAATCACCACGTGAGGACAGATGAGAATCTGACCTGAGGCTGAAAAACCCCTCCCCCAGTGCTAAGTCCCTGAACTTTCTGACCCTAAATAGGTGGTTTGGGAAAGGAGCCTGGCTTGCAAGCCAGGAGGCCTCCCTTGATTATTTGTGATGGTTTTGCTTAATCAAAAAGTAATTAAGCTCCTGCTCTAATGGTCTCAACCTGAGAGTGAGAGGAAGGAAGGTGCTCCGGCCAGCTGCCCAGCTCAGGCTCCCTCGGGGTTAATCATTTCCACTGGGTTTCAGGATCTGAAACAACAAAGGCTGACTTCCCCTAACAGCAGGAGGGACTCTGCCAGGCTAGACCCACAAGGCCTGCCCCGGGCTTGTTTTCATTGCAGAGAATGGATTTTTAATAGAAGGAACCAGCAGTCAGAAACGGACATTTCTGTCCAGCCAGTGTGGTTCAGTGGTTGAGTGCCAACCTAGGATCCAGGAGGTCGAGGTTTGATTCCTGCTCAGGGCACATGCCCGGGTTGCTGGCTCGATCCCCAGCAAGGGGTGTGCAGGAGGCAGCCGATCCATGACTCTCATCATTGATATTTCTCTCTCTCTCTTCCTCTCTAAAATCAATAAAAACATATTAAAAAAAAAAAAAAAAGCCACTGCCATTCGTGCTGTCTGGTAGTAACCTGCCCAGCTGGAAATAATATAGTAAGCGCTGACGTTGATGAAAAGGGACTGTCGGGGGCAATGCAGAGCCCTGGGCCTGTGAGGGCCTGAGGTGGAGGGCAGGGCCGAGGAGAGGCTGGAGGGCACTTGCAGGTGAGGTGAGGCCCCTGGGCAGGCCCGTCCCTTCCTCACATTGGACATTCCTAATTGGTACTTTACTTCCTCCACAGGTCATTTTTTCCGATAGAAAACAGGTGAGATTTGGGGCTGCAGGAATGAGCCGCCTCCTCAAGTCCAGGCTGGAGGTGGCCCACATGCCCAGGCCATCTCATCAGGTCTTCACAGACCTGTGTGTGGGTCGGCATCAGCTGCCGGCACCGACTCCGAAGACTTCCCATGAACAGGCAGGCAGGCGGCTACCCGGGGAGCCGCACGAGCCAGCAGCCCCAGGCCATTGCTGCGTGGCGGCCACGGGCCAGGGCGGAGCAGCATCCACACACTTGCCGCCCCCCAACCCACTTCCCCGAGTGCCAGGCCCGCAACCTCCCTTCTCCTGATAGCAGCTTGCAGGGGAGGGGAGCTCTTGTCGGAGAAATACTGCCATTGGCAAGGTTCACATTTGCTAGAAGGAGGGAGAAACAGGCACAAAATACCAGAGAAATCAGTCCCACACTAGCCTCTTGCCTCAGCTTCCTGAGTCTTGGGACAGAAAACACCTGTCTCTACGTTGCTTTTTGTTTTCTATTTTCAAAATACTCTCCGAAGTCAGCCATGGATTTTCCCACAGGCCATCAACCCTACGAGTAGCCTGGGAATGTGATCTGTTTTCAGAGGTGATCGCCCAGGGGACCAGAGCCCCGAGGTCCTCGTGGAGGGAGGCCCACCGCCGTGGTTTACGTGGACAACAGGATTCTCAGTGAAGGCCGTCCGTGCAAAACAGAAGTCACCATCCTGTGGTCTGGAGCGACCACCTCCCCACACCCCAGCCCTGTTCTGAGTGTTCTCCCAGCCCTGCCAGCCCTGTTCTCTGGGTGTCCGCCCCATCCTGTTCTGAGTGTCTCCCCAGCCCTGTTCTCTGGGTGTCTCCCCCGTCCTGTCCTCTGGGTGTCCCTCCAGCCCTGCTTTCCCCCATGCCCCCTCTTTTTCACATGTGGTTTTGCAGGAGGTGAGGCTTTCTGGGAATGTGCATGTGGCATTCAAGCTGAAGTCAGCACAATGCCACCTCAGTCTGTTCATTGTCAATATGCATGTCGTGGTGTGCTGGCAACCGCGTCTGCAGCCGGGTGTGCGCTTTAGCTGGGAGCCTGGAAATGTGGTTCTTAGATGAAGGGCTTGCTAGGAATTTGTCTTAAATCCTTTCTAATATTTACGCTGTGGCTAAAAATGCAATTCTAAAGACTAAGCCAAAATACACGCCAAAATATTTATGCTATAGAGCATTAACTAACAGAAGGTTCCAAAATAGACACAGCGAAAATGTAAGCAGGTGGGACGTAACCAGTAAAAACAAAGACGCGACTTGACAAGTGGGGCTTGAAGAATAAAATTCCTTTTTCCTCACATTCCTTTTTCCAATTAAGCAAATGCCTTTTGTCTGTTTGTTTTGCTTGGAATTAACCATCAATTGGTGAAAGTCTGTCAGGAAACATTCTACATCCACAAACTGACAGATTAATAAATGTGGAGACACCCAGGCGGAGACAAGTGTCTGACGGGAGAGGCTGGACACAAAGTAGCAATTGCGTGCCTGAAGGGAGAGGCTGGACACAAAGTAGCAATCGCGCACCTGAAGGGAGAGGCTGGACACAAAGTAGCAATCGCGCACCTGAAGGGAGAGGCTGGACACAAAGTAGCAATCGCACGCCTGACCGGACACCCGCTGAGTGTTCACTGACTTTCTGAGCAACTAACATAAAGACCAGCCATTTCTTTCAAATGACAGGTAGAAATGTCCCCAGGGTCTTCTGATGACAGTGACCCTTGCTTGACAGCATCACTCTACAGCACGGGGTCTCCTGACGTGAGGGTTTCGCGGGGCCACCAACGCAGCAGCCCCTGGACGCCACCTCCCCTCCTGGGCACCAAGACGCAGATCACAGTGAGGCTCCTGGTGGGACAGCCTCGCTCTCTGGAGCAGCAATTCCCACAGGTGGCTCGCACGTCAGTTATCAAGTAGCTAAGGGTCAGGAAAGTTTTATAGCAAACAAAACCCATCCACACCAGTCACTTTGATAAAAGAAAACACACTAAAGGGAAGAGAAAGGAGCCGGAGAGAGTGAAGGCGGAAGGCAGGTAGTTTATTCCACGTCGCGCTGGCTCAGGCACCTGACCCTCAGCCGGTGGATCCTCGCTTCCCTTCACAGAAGCAGGCCCCTGAACGCAGTCGCCCAGCTCCCGCTCCTCCTCCCCTCCATCTGGGATTTAACAGCTTGCGACTGCCCCCGGAACCAAGGCACTTAACATTAGAAGATAAAGCTCAGTAGAGCCCCCTGACATCCTGCGCGTTCAGAAAGCTGAACTCAGCCCACCGTCACCCTGTGGGAGTCACGGTAACAGCGTGAAAGACACGCATTTCCTTGGAAAACAAAGTGCGAGTGACTATAGACTCATCACGGCCCCCCATCCTTCCTGAAAGCAGCCCCTAGGAGAGAGAACTCTTATTTACATGATTAGAATTACGCAAGGGTCACACATGGAAAAAATAGCTCAAAATAGCCTGTCATAAACTCCCTGTGAAGTCAACAGACTCCCAACAGACTCAGAGAACTGGGGACAGTCTCAGGGTCTAACCCAGCACAGAGCCCCAGAGAACACAGCCCCAAAGCCTGGCTCTGGGCTCCCTCCACCCCGTTCCTTCAAAGACCCCCAAAATGAAACATGGCAATGGTCCCTGGACACGCTGCACCCCACGGAGCACATGAGGGATGCAGGTCAGTGATCTGGCCTTGCAAGGCAGTTCCTTTGGTGGTTGGGCAGGTACGACCCCCCTTGGGCATCTGTACACGGGCAGCCCATTGGGCCAAGGGAAGCCGAGTGCTGGTAAGACACGACTTCTGGGCCTCGGGAAGGCTCTGCTCGGGCTCAGCTGACAACGGGCAGGCGGTCGGCAGCGCAGCGGAACCCCAGGTTGGAGGCGGAGCTGTCGGGGGTGTTCTGGCTCCTGGCCGCACATCGGTACCTATAGCAGTAGGACTGCAGAGAGGGCAGAGGTGAGTGCTCTCGAGCCGCAGCCAGTGGCTCACTGGGCAGGTTCAGGTGGCACCCAACACCTGCAGGCACTAACCCCGCTGCACACACGGCCCACGTGCTTGGAGGAGGGCAGCGCACAGAGATCACACGCTCTCCAGTGCCCTTCACCTCACACACACAGCACAGAAACAACACAAAGGTATCAGGTACGCACCACTCAGATCATCAAAAATAAACTTACAGGGTGTCCATCTTTTAGACTGGCGGGCAGCCACTATTACGATGTCTTTAGTAATACTTAACGACACAGGAAAGTGTCGTGATACAACGTCAAATGATAAAGTCGGAAACTGCGCATGTGGCAGGGTCTCCCTCTAGGTAAGCAGGTAGCCGGAGTAAAAAGACTGGAGATTCCAAATGCTCCACAGCCTGACAGTGGGGACCCTTGGCTGCAGAGTCTCAAGGTCCCTACACTGTGTGTCCGATGAGCTCAGAGTCTACAGCTTTGCCAGAAATAAGTGGCAGAGATATAGCCAAGGGTCCTGGAGTCTGCAAACTGGGTCCACAGCGTGCTCCAAAGAAGAGAAGAAAGTTCTTAGAGTAAGAAGCACACTCTTAGCCGGGGACTGGTCCAGGATGGTGATGGGTCACACAGCCAGGCGGTCAGTCATGGCCAGGCGGTCAGTGACAGCCAGGTGGTCTGGGCAGCCCCAGGGCTTGGATAATGGACTGCAGGAGGAGGTATCTGTGAGTCCTGCAGGGGTGAGTCCTGCCAGGGTCACCTGGAGGTCTGGACTGTATGCAGGCATCACTGGTGCAGGAATGGGAATGTTTTATTTGTATAAAAAAGCTAAAAGCCATGATGACAAAAAGGGTTAGACCTTTATTAGATGACAGCTGGCCCGAGAGTCTTCCCTGAACCTGAATGAGTGGGAAAGACCAACTCTCAGCACAAGTCGGCACTGAGTGGCCGGGCGTCACGGGAGATGGAGGCGACTGGCATCGCTGGTCCACTTCGGATGCACCCACTCGCTCGCCAACGTTTACTAACAATCCCAGTGACGGCCACTGATGAACACGCAACTGGGGGAGAAAGCGGCCTGATTCTACATGTCCTCGCTGCTCTTTTGTTCCAAGCCTTTTAGCACCACAGCTGGCTATTAATGATGTTAGCTCTTTGAGTGGCTGAAATATGGGTCATTTTATTAATTAAGAGCAGAGGGAGTGGGAAGGACCTGTTTTCACCCTACTTCATCAAAGTGGATAATTACTGTGTGAAATTGATCCCCACAACTGTGCTAAGAATGGGATCCTGGACAAGGGAACAACCCATTTAAGACAATGACGTACCCACTGTGGGGCTCAGAGGTCAAGTGTGGTTCCTGAGAAAGGAAGACTTTCGGGGAAAAGGGAAAGCTCATTATAAACAAAATCATCACAGAAAATCGCAAGCACAGCCCAGATCTCTCGGTGTCCCATCCGTCGCTCTTCCCACTGGCACCAGAGCCTGTTGTGAATAACCCTGGAGTAAAATGTTGGGAGGGGGAGGGTTCCCGCCATGCTGTGGGTTGAGCAGAAGACCCAGCAGGGATGAATTTAACAACATTCAGGAACAGCAGCTAATGTTTCCTGAGTGGTTACTACGAGAACTGTCCTAAGAACTTCACATGTGTTAATTCACGCATCCTCCCAATAGTCCTAGGGGTGGGTGTATTATGTCTGGCTTGTATACCTGAAAGAAAACTGAGGCACAGGGATGCTGGCAGGGTGCCCAGGTCCCATGGCTGGTAAGAGGTGGGCCCATAACTACAGCCTTTTCAGTCCATCCCAGAGTCTGTGCTCTTCACTGGACGCCATGTGGCCTGTGCCCTCTTCCTCATGAAGTTGTACTGTGGATGGACTTTCAAAGGTTGCAAATAGCCCCACTAGAGTGGCTCAGGGGTTGAGCCTAGGATCCAGAAGATCGAGGTTTGATTCCCAGTCAAGACGTGCCTGGTTGCAGGCTTGATCCCCAACACGGGGCGTGCAGGAGGCAGGTGATCCATGACTCTCTCTCATCATTGATGTTTCTCTCTCTCTCTTTCTCCCTTCCTCTCTCTGAAATCAATAAGACACATTTTTTTAAAAAAAGTTGTGACGAATCATCAGAGATACTTTAGCTGCGCAAATTGGCCCTGGCCCTCAGTCAGAAGTAGGTCACCGTCTGAGCAAGGTGATTGTTTTCTAAATGAATTTCATTCTTCTTTAAACTTTCTTTCCTCTATTGATTTCCACCTCTGCTTTTAAGTCACTTCCAGGACCCTGCCTCCCTAATTAGGAGTTCATGAGTTGGATCCACACTCGGAGGAAGAGGAAACAGGCTAAGGATGGTGGTGTTCACTGAGTCTTCACGACGAGCCAGGCCCTGCCCCTGTGCTCACACACGTGGGTGCATTCGTTCCACATGAGGGCCTTAAGGTAGGTGCCTCCATGACCCGCATTTCACAAATGTGAATAGTGAGGCTTACAAAGGTTAAGTCCCAGGGTCACTGAGCAGCAAGGGGCAGGTACAGAGCTCCCGCCCAGACTTAATGCCAGAGTCCAGGTCTTACTAATTCAGTGACAGCTGCTACTTTAATTCAGTGGAAAGTATGAGCACCCTGGAAGTAATTCACAACCAACACTGGGATGTTCTCCTGGTATTCTCTCTTCTGGAATGTTCTCTCTACCCCTCTGAGCTTGACTAAACCACAACTTTCCTTCAGGTAGACTAAGAAAATTAAATATGCACAATAGAAACTCTAAGTCAATCACTAAAATTTTAAAACAATGAGTTATAGCCAATAAGCCAAAGGAGAAAAATACAGTGAAAAAAAAACCAAAAACCTCAATCCCAAAGAAGTTAAAAAAAAAAAAAAAAAAAAAGAAAG